TTCTAGCGTCCGTCTCCACATCACCACAATCCCCTTCAACTCACCCTTCACCTACCCCCCCCTCCCACACCCTCCATAATACAACAAGCACTATACCTTAACTAACTAATAAACCCAACCACGGTCACCCCCCACTCCTCAGCATCCCCCTTTCAAGCGAAACCAAGAGCCCAAAACTGCCCCACCAGCCTTAGCAGGATAAGACACAGATGCAACCACCGGTGATAGGACAGGACACAGAAATGACAGGATAGGCTTTAGTGTCCTGTCACATAACACAGGAAAAGACCAGATCCCCAGTAAATCAGGCTAACTTAGGCAGGGGTGAAGGGTGATACATCCTTTCTCCGGGAAGTAATCAATGCCGTCCTTCGGACCTCCACACCACAAGGGGGAGGAGCGTGAGTGCGTATATCCTTGTATCATAAGGTTCCGTTTATCATTGAGAAAAAAAAAAAAAAAAAAAAAGATTTTACTGAGAAATTCGCTTTTTATCTTTCCCAAAAAAAGATACAAAATTTAAAAAGCCAAAAAATAACAAGTCAATTTAGTCAAATTGTTTAATTATTCCAATTCACTAACAACGATATTCCAGAATGCAAAATCTTACACAGGACCAAACATGATTGAGCGTAGTTCAAAGCAGGAAACCAAAGCGGAATGCACACCAATTTGAACATTGAAGCCTCTTGATAAAGAAAGCCTGGCATCAATTCGAATCATCAATGGAGCAACAATGTAGTAGCCCTACTTGAGGTATGACCGCCCTAATCTACTTCCTACTACTTTTACTCATGCTAGTGTCTACCACCCCACTAACTGTCCACTTGTCACTCGCCCAATGTGCTTGAAGACTCTGCTCATACAAGCTTCCCCCACCAACACCAGGTAAGAACCGTCAGTCCTCACTATCTGCCTCTCTCCCCCTCTCTCTCTCTCTCTCTGATGATAGCGCAGCGCTTGAATATCGCACGCTGCTCCAACAACATGCCATGACAGGTGCCATGCCCACGACCTGCAATCTGGGCCACGAGATCGTAGGTTCGATCCACGGTCCAGATCGCAGGGAAAAGTCCTGCTCCTGGGCCTGGCCTAAGAACGGCGTGCTTGGGTCCCTACCGGAAGTCCAGGCCTCCCTGCTGATGCAGCAGGGGAGTGTCTGCTACCAGATGAATCCGAACCTGGCCCAAAAGGGCCCAGTCGTGAACGTGGCCTCCCCAGAGGCCTAAAATGTGGCCCTGGTCCAAATAGACCACAACTCTGTTCGGACATGCTGCAAAGTCCGAAACGTCACCCTGGGACAGACAAAAATATACCCAGACTGAAACGGTTTTCACCTTTGCAGAGGCAGATGCAGATCCCAGGATCCCCAGACCTTACCTTACCCATGTACAGTACCGAGTTGACCCCTGAGTGTTTGAACCCGTGACCTGTGTTGCGCAAACAGTTGGTAGGCTGTTTTAGGTCCGTAGGTTGTAGGGGGATTCGATCTGTAGACCTGTTGGATAGGAGTCTTAGGAAGCTTTAGAAGTCGTAACTGTAGACTTCCCGAAGGGTCAAGGTCGTAGCTGCTACAGTCCAGAAAGGTCAAGGTCGTAGCTGCTACAGTATCGAAAGGCCAAGTCTACAGCCTTCCGGAAGGTCTGAGTAGTGGCCTTTCGAAGTTCCCCATGTTTAGGCTGAGGCAAGTGGGCAAGTGGTGAGGCAAGTGGTGTAGTCTACCCGTGCTGAGTCAGCAGTCCCAGTCCTAGGCAGTCCTGGTCCAGTCAAGCAAGTACCGCATGGGACTGTGTGCACTATGGGCATGGGAAAGGGCCAGACCAAAGAGCTGCAGAAGTATAAAGCAAGAGGCAGCGCCCCGTCATTCATTCATTCCTGCGGAAGCCATGCGGAAGCGCTGCAACAGTGACTTGTGCGAGGTGGTCTGCAGAGGAGCCTGAAGTCGAAGTGGGCTGAAGGGAGTTAGCGCAGCCATAGCTGCTGATAAATTAGTGTTAGCTGGCGGCCATAGCTGCCGTAGGTTAGCAATAGGTGCGTATGTGTATGTGGACAGTGTGTGTGCTTGGGGTATCCAGGGTGATCCAGAGTTGAGGTGTGAAGCGAACAGTGGTGTGGGACACAGTGACGAAAGTTGTGGTGTGTCGGTGCTGATGCACCATAGCCTGTTGAAGCGAGTATGCAACTGAACTGTGTTCTTGGTTCCCATATCTTCGAGCTTTGAGTTGGGCGCGATGCGCCAGTGTGATTCACCATCTGTTTGTATGCATGCGAAGTGTGAATAATTGCGAGTCTGATTGCACTGGTATCCGAGCTGGTACCCGCTACTCCATGCGCATCGTCGTCGTAACAGGAGAGAGACGCGTGGGCGCCATAGCTGAAGTGCACCACCCTTGAAGAAGAAGTCCGCCATAGCTGGGCTGCGGAGGAAGGTGATGCGAACCTGCACAGAGGACAACAACGAAGAGAGAGAGAGAGAGAGAGAGAGAGAGAGAGAGAGAGAGAGAGAGAGAGAGAGAGAGAGAGAGAGAGAGAGAGAGAGAGAGAG